AGTGAAAGTTGCACGTTCCAAGGCTTGTAAGGCTCGCAACTAGCAAATTAAATAGCAATTTGCAACTTAGGTTTTAGGAAATGAGATTAATTCGTTACTACAACTATCAATTATTATGATAAAAATCGCAAGCTGCTCCTTCGTCCGCATGTATCAAGTATTCCGCAATTTGGCTTTGCGTATTAACAAGTCTTCGATGTATTGAAAGCTTTTTTAAGAGACTGTTGAGCTATTTCTGATTATTTGTAGGTGGCTTGCAAGGAGATCTTCCACTTATTGAAGACCTATTATCTCTAAAGTTTGCTGAAGTGTTTTTGCGAAGTTGTTTTTACAATACTGAATAGCGCCGCATGCTTTTATCGCAGTGTTGTACAAAAGCAGACCTGCAATACACATTGCAGTACTCAGTCCTATAAACCTTATTCCGCGTTACATTCAGCGATAACACCGATTATTATGATTGCACAGATTACGCCTTTTCGAAATATCTCTAAAGAAGCTATTGCGATAGCGTTATAGAAGGATAAAAAGATAGTCAAAATAAGCGAAAAGAGAAAGGGGAGAAAAAAGCTTGCAACTCGAGCTTGCAACTTGAAAGTTAGAGTTTTTTTCTTCAACTTCGATTTGTACTTACGTAGTATGATGCAATTACGAGTTGCAAGGTCAGATGCATACTTTATAAAATTTACGTGAACGAGCCATACAGATTAATTAATTCATGCAACTTGGCTTGCATTTGCGAGCCATACAGGCTCTAAGCGAAGTGCCTATTGATACAGTATAATAAAGTAGAAATCAAAAAAGTAAATCAGATCAGACGACGGATGGAATCCTGGTAGTAAAGTCAAGCGCCAGCCATTTTCTTAATGACGCATATCGGTAGTACGTCTGCTCTACGTATCCTGCCGCTCTATATACAACTAGTTGTATGAGCTGCGCGTTGAGTTCTTAGGTCGTTTCATTAAGCCGAGCCGAAGGCTATGATTTGGAAAGACACTCTTTCCAATGTTATTATTATTATTATTATTATTATATTTATTAACGTCAGGCAGGTATCCAAAACGTAATGCTTAGACTTTAAGACCTCCTTTAAGGTACGGCGACGTGCTAAGTAAAGATAAAATAGTAGCAGTAGTAGTACTATCCAATCGAAAGTAAAAACCACGTTAAAAAAAGCTTTTTTTTAAACAGCCCCGGGTTTTTAATACCGCGGTATCGCATAACCTTT